GCTCTGTTCCAGTACACATTAACTAATCTAAAAATAGTAGACGTGCTGCAGAAGACYAGGAAGAACATGGTTTGCGTCTGGAAGGAACATCCCTTCAGCTTGCTCACCTTGCACACCAAGGCAAATACTGTTTACCTGACATTACAAGACGTGAGTGACAATTGCTTCAGTGATGGCACAGTCGCAAATACCGCAGCCCAAWTCACCGATGAAGTAATRGATGATTGCKTCARCAAGCTGTGTAWCAGCAGYATCAAGAATTCAAAAAGTGCCTGGGGAAGGCTTCCCAATGAGCAAATTGATGAGAATGCAAATTTTTTTGTCGAAGAAGATGCTCTCGAGAAGGCATTCAAAACCAATGMCAGGGTTACTGCTSAACTTGAATACCTCCAGGTAAATGAAAGAAACTTAAATCAAACTTATTTAGGAGGTGGCAYTTGACATCAGCAACTGATAAACTTGTGTCCCTCAATATTTAACTTCTCGTCTTTTAATGAGACGGCACCGCCATTTTACGTGGTTATAGGAGCCATGACCAAGATCTATCACTCGTATATACTTTTAGTGAAAAAACAGCACCTTCCTACTCAGATATTTTAAGGCTGGAGCTTAAACCCATGACTTCCTGCTCAACAGGCTGATGCTCAACCAACAGAGAACCAATTTGCCTGCAAGATCTTGATCTTTACTCACGTTTTTACCATAATTCCCCCAAAGTTTGATGAAATTCTCGACTGGCGGGGGTATAAAAGGTGCTTACTTTGATTCCTAGATATAAAGACATTTTGATTGGTAACAATATCATTGTTTTTTGGTTTTTTTTGGTTTGTTTTTTCCCAACAGATTAAAACTGAAAAACTGACTGGTCGATTAAAAAGGCTACATGAAAGTCTTTCTGAAATGGAGCAYAGAGTGTTTTTGTTGCAGCATTTCGCACACCTCATCTTTTCTGATAAAGATAWAATGAAAGCTGTAGAAAACTGGATTACTAAGAAAAGGAGCATACGAGCTGGCCATAAAGAAGGAACAAGCAACGATAAAGATGATGAGCTTGAAGTATTCTTGGAGTCAATCACTAACGATGAATTAGCGGAATTCCTTGCTGAAATCCAAAGACCAGATCTCGTTTCTGTCTTAATGAAGGATCAAACAAATGACCAGCCCTGGGAAAYGTCTTTTGATGAAGACATCAAAGACGCTGGGTGTCATAGATTGTCCGGTGAGAAGAAGAAAATCACCGAAGAAGGAACAATCRAAGGAGCAGTTGGAAAATCGTTTGACCAAGAGCTTTACAACGATGTTGTCGAGGGAAAAGATTCACCGGACCGGCCAAGTTGGTATTTTCCGTTACCAGAGAGTACGCAAACAGAGTTGATAGAAGGGTTCACTCAAACTGACTCGTTGAGTTTGGTCCAGGAATACAGGCATATGGAAGTTCAAACGGATCCAGCGCAACTGGTAAAGAGAGTTGTTTTTAAAGTCATTTTCATAAAATATTTAAAATTTTCACTCTTTTTGGTGCATTTTTGCTCCATGAACCCACGTTCCTTTTGGTCTCCGGCAAAATGAACTCGGCTGATGTCTTTTAGATAATTAGATAATTGATGGGGGTGTGGTGGGGGGGGGGGGGGGTGCAGGAATTTTGGTTGCATGATATTAATTTTTTTGGATCAACCCTTGCACGTTATTTTTTTGCGTACAGTTAGATATTTTTCTTCTAGCATAAGAGTTTGCACGGTTTTTTTTTTTTTTTAGGTTTAAGTGCTTGCTCGATATTTTTGGGGGAATCAAGCAACCCCCCCCATCGACTATCTAATGGTCCGTCCCTAAAGTCTTTCACGACCGGAACGAACGTGGGCCCTGGATACGAGTATTTTACCTGTAACATTTAGGTATTAAATTTTTACGCCTTTTGATTGGATCAGAAAAGRACCTGACTGTAGGTCTCCTGGTCATGTGTAAAAATTTATCACGTGAATGTCACATGTAAAAAATAACATTGTCACGTGAATGTCACTTGTAAAAAAAAAACACGCGAATATTACATGTAAAAAATAACATTGTCACGTGAATGTCACTTGTAAAAAAAACACGCGAATATTACATGTAAAAAATAACATTGTCACGTGAATGTCACTATGATTATATACTTATAATCATAATCTCATAATTATTATAATTATAATCATAATTACTACAATTATTCTATACCAACTCCGCGTTCCAGAAAAGCTGACGCTTCAACAGTAAAACATAAAACACTGTTTCTGAAAGGGGCACATTTGTCAACTTACTAACCTTGTGGAACTGTTTTCTTAAGACTAATGAAGAATCTTTGCGTGAAAAAGGAYTSGCCGACTTTGAACGGGACCGTGCTGAAARRCAGCTGCGCAAATCACGATTATCSAATKATSTCATTGCATTCAAGARTCGCCCAAGAGAACAAGGTCAGTGATTTGATTTATTTGATAACATGTTTTTAGGGCTGCTTCGCCYCTYGTAAGAAGTTCAGGGAATCCAAGAAGTTCTTGCCAAGACTGGAATCATAAATTCATCCATTGAAGAAYCTCTTATCTKGGGCATAATGTTTTCACATTTTAGACCACGTGTCATTCCCTAGARTATCACTTTTCTAAGTTATAACATYGTGGCCATGAAAAGCATAATGGTCGGGGCAAAGAGATGAATTAGCTACTTATTCCCATAAAAGTTGCGAATGGCTCTAATGGMTGCGAAAAAGCTATCGTCAAGTGCTTTGTATTGTATAGTCTTCTTGCACATTATTGCATCCTTTAAGTAAGCAATGACGTTCAACATGTTGCTGAGTAACACTGTCAAATGTCTCCTTCTCGATGGTTTACGTTCTGGAGTAGTTCTCAGTCAGGCAAGGAGTTCCTTAGTTTGAAATTTAACAAGTGAGCAAATTCACCCAAATCTTGTCCCACTTTGCACTTGTTTTTGCACATCCGCATTTGGAATGTAAGCAAACTTATCCTCTGTCTTAAAATGTTTTTAAGCTTTTCTCCTGCGCTCAATAAGATCATCACGGTGCAAGGCGTATTAATTTAAATTACCCAGAAACCCTTATCATTTGCCAGCCATTAATACTTCAGTTTGGTTCGTTTTTACAGGGTCTTCTCAAGATTCTATCGTCACTGAAACATCAGGGTTTTCTAGTCAAGGAACGTTATCGTACTCAATACCTCCTGGATCCTTACCGTTAAAGTCGCCCTCTCGATCTTCCATTATAAGCGAATCATCAAGCCATGGCACAGAAGACGTGTCTCTCGAAGGAAAACCACGGGATTCCATTACTTTTGGTTTTATATCAGAACAAAGTGGATCAGCAAGTCATACTACAGAAGACGTGTCCATCGAAGGAACACCGCGAGATTCCATTATTCCTTGTTTTATA